GATTGATTGAAGTGAGAATTGTAAACTATTGAATGTTAACTTATTAATCTAAAGGTTAAGTACCAAGTTTTGAATGTTCTTAATCTCTGAATCAGTACTACTCAAAGAATCTCATGCTATAATATAACATCTATCCAGTGAATCCTACTTTACAATCGTTATTTAATTAAACCCAATCTGTATGATAGTTTGGAACTTATCGATTGTTCTCTCTTACAAATACATACATATGCTTTCTATTCATGTATCAGATGGGTAGTTGGAAAAAAAAGATATGATGAAGTTTCGTTCTCTGAATTGGGTGTTTTGGTTGTACAGCTTTCATTTTTCTTCTGAACAACATCATTTGTACAAACTTCAGGTAGAGAAGTGAAGTATTCAAATTACTCCATGTATGACTCGTAGTTTGTCCAACCAATCAAAACCGATGTCAACAGAACTAGCTACGAGTCATATGTGGAGAAATTCGAATACTTCACTTCTCAACTTGAAGTTTGTGTTGATGATGTTGTTCAGAAGAACAATGAAAGCTGTACAACCAAAACATCAAGCTCAGTGAACGAAACTCCACCATATTTATCCACCTAAGCTACCAATTTTCTTCACCATCTCAAAAAAAAGTGCTGAGTACTCTCTCATTTCAGTAGTGTTTATTCGTGATAAAACTTCCTTTTAAACTTTACAAAAGTCCTCCTACAGCAAGCATTATCTGGAATAAATAATGATTTAACTTGAGACTATAGCAAAGTTACAATTAATTTATCAGTTGAATTTTTTTTCCGATTATTTTAGTAATATCGAGTAGAAACTCTCCCCAAGATTACAATTTCCTATCAAATTCAATCATTATTCACATAAAATCCATTGTAATTAACTATTCAAATATAATTATTTGTCATATTCTAATGAATTGACTTATGGTATCACACACACTGCTTAACAATTAAACACACACATATACACATACGTACAGATGAACAAGATCTAATGTCTCTATACACGCATATTTCTAGAACAATTCTTTTATCTGAAGGGATTTCCTCAAGAAAAGTTAGAAATCTGTCTTTTAAATGAATCGAGTTGACTGACATTCATCAATGAGTAAATGTATAATTTGATGTGTAGACACTTAAAATAATGAATACAGGTAACAGAGAAAGAGAAACATACAGAAAATCTGACAATGTTAGTACAACATACACACTATAGATACTTGAATGATATGACAATAACTTATATTCATGTATGTTTGTTTCTTCATATATTTACTCTACATTCATAGTTGAAATCACAAACAGATTTTTTTTTAGGCCAGACCACCATTACAAACCTGGAAGAATGTTAGAATATTCACCAAATATCCTAAGAGTACTATTTTTAGAAGTATAATCCTATTGGTCGAAAATATGGTTGTTTTAACTGTCCAAGTCAAATACTTCAACGTTGTCTCTGATTGGTCATCCGGACTGTCAATGTCATTTCAAATGTTCTTTCCTATTGGTTGTCCTAAACTCTCAATGTCACAGACTTCAATGCTCTTTCCTATTCGACCTAGATGTATAAATATGCACTATCCGTAAGACTTTATGATTCCGTTCCTTCCTGCCTACCTCTCTTCTATGCTCGACCCAATAAACAACTCCATCCAACTGTGTTGCGTTCTGATATCTAGGAGATTTGGGAATAGTATTTGGGTCGTATTGGAATATTTGAATTCGGACGTCGGAGGATTTGAATAGCTACGTAGCAGCATTATAACAAAGAACTAGATTGCCGTTTCACCCTAGTATGTAACTCATAACTAGTGAGCATCCACGATCCCCACACGTGGGAATTTAACCCAGAATCTTCAGTCTTGTATGAGAATGCGTAATCTCTAAGCCACTGAGGAATCCTATAGTAGGACGAAACGGCCATTCATAAAAATCCAAATTAGAATTAGGATACAAATAGGTAACTGAGCCCGTTAGAATCTCACATTGTATATAGCAATACATTCAAGATTTCACACACCGTTGCTTACGACTATTAACAGATATGAAGTACGTATTGAAAGTTTACGAATAATTTCCTCTAACTTGTCAACGACTCAACTGGTAAAATGCCTAATGGGAAAATGAGTTCTAGTTGTATGTAGGACAAAAAACGTCATATACAGGAAAATATACTGAACTAACAACTTTGTTTTACTCTCTCAATTTCATATATTAACACTATTTCATTACGCGGTTGTCAAGATTGTTAAGTTACACATTTGAAATCATGAATCGATCAATGTTAGACCACCATTAAAAACCTGGAAGCACTGAAAGACGACAGTTTCGTCCTGGTATGGGACTACTCATCAGCATTGCACATCCACAACTCCTGCACCTCACAGGACTCGAGCCTAGGACCTTCGGTCTTGTACCATCAGGTACCAGCCCAGTGGTCCAGAAGTTAGGCGATCGCGCTCAAGACCGAAAGTCCTTGGTTCGAATCCTTTGAGGTACAGGAGTCTTGGATGCACACTGCTGATGAGTTGTCACATACCAGGACTAAATGACCACACGTTCAGTGCTTCTAGGCTTCTAATGGTGTTCTAACAATGATGCATTCATGATTTCAAATGTACAACACTATTTCAACAATTGAAATCATTTTATCTAGATTATTATTTCAAAACTAATAAAAGTATCTGAGATAAGAGAAAAACGCAATAGTTTCTTTGCCCTATTTTGTTTGTTCTACGCCTATGACTCACCACTATTATATATTATTAGCGTAGACTAAAGAGAATCTCCACCTCTTTTAATGGATAAACAGATAAATCGATAGACAGACATACAATGTAGCGCAAGTGCCACACAAATGCACGCACACACACACTTCAGTCGGAGTTACAATAGCTAGTAGAACAAATAATACTGATAAAAATCACACACATAAATATTTACACACTAGTAGAGCTAAGATGAGAGAGAATGAAGATAAATGGGGAAAAAATACTCTTCTATACACGAAATGATAGACAAATCAATTCAGTCAATATTTTCATGACTATTATTACGACAACAATAATAATGAAAACTATTTCAGACCAATACACACATAGTAGTAGACGTGTGTAGACGCATATTTTCATTTTCATTTCATTTAAAAAGTGTTTATGTTATGTTTACAAGCCAAGAGAAGAAGAAGAAGAATGGATGAATAATTATTTGTCTAAATAAGCTCTATATTTTAAATGGAACTCAGAAAGTTATGATTGTCTGTGCTTGATTTTACGAAAACAAAAAATTTAAATTCTATAGGGAACTTTATTATCGGAATACACTTGAACATTCCAATGGTCAATGTCAAATATAGATAGATAGACAAACAGACAGACGGACAGACATCATCGACGTAAGGCCTGGAACAGAATAAATTTGGTGATTCAAATTGCCAAAAATGAGGATAAGTACGATTAGAAGCAAATCATGATATCCATTGCTGGGTTGTTGTGAAGATTGTTAAGTTTTATTATGTAACCATGAATCGTTCAATGTTAGACCACCATTAGAAACCTGGAAGCACTGAAAGACGGCCGTTTCGTCCTGGTTTGGGACTCATCAGTGGCAGTGCACATCCACGACTCCTGCACCCATACCAGGACGAGAAACGGCCGTCTTTTAGTGCTTCCAGGTTTCTAATGGTGGTCTAACATTGATCGATTCATGGTTACATAATATCGATGTTATAAATCTGATAGATAAATAGTCGTCGATTTTTGAATTGTTCAAAGTTTACGACAAGTTAACTTTGAAGGACATATGAATAAAAGTTTTACTTTTAAGCTTAGTTTAAGTACAGAAAATAGAAAGAATTTGTAGGTTCACAAGTGACCTTGAGATTGTAATTCTCGAAAATATACTAGAATCGGTGATAATTTTAACTGCGAAAAAAGTATAATGAAGGTTATCCTGAAATATTGATCGGTCGAAAGCACGTAGTAATTGTAATTGTAACAATCTTTTTAAGTTGATCCTTACCAAAGAATAAATTCACTTATAATCAACTGAGAGTGTTTAATAAAGATTATTGAATTTTCTTGTTTGGCACACATTGTAAACTAACTTCACTGTCAAACAATTACTAGAAACAAGAGGTCGTACTAGACAACTGTTTCATCTTGATATTGTTGGGGGATATTAGATTCACAGAACTCATTTGGGAAAGGTTTTCATTTTGAATTTTTTGTATTTTCGCGCATAAGAACGCTTAGTTGACCTTGAGATTACATTTCCCATTGGGAAAATCCTTGACTGTCATTGGTTGATAGATTATTTTAGTACGCTATTTTGTGGCTCTCTCAAGGACGTTTCTATCATGTTTAAATAAGCTCGATTTGTGTGGTTATCGATCTCGTATTTTTTGGGTGCTTGTAGAATACACTTTCTACGCCTTATCAAGACTTCTTGCTTTAGTTAACCGGGCTGGGGAAAACGGGTTAGAATAGCCTATCGTGTCACAGGGTCATTTGTCTTCGCTCTCATTTACCGAACAAGGTGAACTCGTAATAGTTTCAATTGACGATCATATCAGTTATGCACTCCCCATGTGGTGCGAGCTACTTATAAGTAGTATATGATGTGAGTGTCAACGTAATGTCTGGTAGCAGAAGATGAGGGAAGATCAAGAAAGGAAGAGTTAGAGCACAATGGAATTTGTATGAAACGCATGAACAGTGACAATGGATTGATGTTGTTTGCAACAGGAACAGTCCCGTTCAATATGATGGACTGATATTTTGCAAATGAACGATTTACGATATGGTTTTCCTATTTTACAGAGTAATAATTCGGTTGCCCCACCTGTGTTCTCGTTCACTACACTCTCAGCATCAATCAAACACAGGACCTCTAAGTCATGTAATCAACCTTCAACTGTAAAAAAAAAACCATTGGACCAATTTCCAATAATACCATTTCAATGTGAATCAATTCATTTTGATATTTACATGAAAATATCTAACTTACCTTGATTAAAAATAATAATAATTTCCAATCACTGAACACAATGAAGAGTGAAGAATGAGTAGTACTGATTAATTCACTAAGAGAATGGATAATCACAACAGCAAAGATGATAATGTATGTTGACTTTATTGATTAGCGAGATTAATCTGTCAGTTTGAAAAGAAAAGAATAAAAAAAGGAAAAAAAAGTTAAGAGGAGATTGATAAAAATAAATAAACGCGATAAACAAACACACAAATAAACATGACCTTCATAAATCAGTATATGATTTTTCCCTCTTAATGTTTATCAATCTCTCATCGTAATTATGATTAACATGAGTTAGTTTACGAATAACTACTAACGCGAAAAATACAACAACACCTGATTCAATGCTTCAAACCGTAGTCAGTATGTAGTGAACGAGAACACAGGTGACGGCAACCGAATTGTATTTAACGAAAATTACAGAGTTACTCAGTAAAATAGGAAAACCATATCGTAAATCGTTAATTTGCAAAATATCAGTTCATCATTTCGAACTGGACTGTTCCTGTTGCAAAACATCAATCCATTGTCATTATTCCTGCGTTTCATACAAATTCCATTGTGTTCTAACTCTTCCATTCTTGATCTTCCCCCCATATGCTACCAGACTTTACGTTGACACTCACGTTATATACTACTTATAAGTAGTTCGCACCACAGCACCACAAGTATATGATTTTTCCCTTTAATGTTTATCAATCTCTCATAGTAATTATGATGAATATTAGTTAGTTTACGAATAACTACTAATGCCAAAAATTACAACAACAACAACAACACCTGATTCAATGCTTCAAACCGTAGTCTTCCCTTATTACCATTAATACCTCTACTATCTATCCATGACTATGGGATTTGATTTGACATTTGCGTCTTTGTGTGCTAATAATGTGGTATGGCAGCAACATGAACTTATTATGTACATACGTACGAAGTTCTACGTTGCAACTGACTGACTGAATGACTGACTGAATGACCTGATTCGATCAATGAATGACAACATTAGTTGTGTACAATAAAAAAACGAATGATCAATAAAATTATTGGTAGTAGTAGGAAGTAATCAGGTGTACTAATAGTAGAAGCCATAGGAATTTGTACATTCAATCACAGGGTGTGTGTGTGTGTGTTCACAACAAAAATTAATTCACAATAAGATTTAAATACCAAAACAACAAGAAAATAATAAAAGGAAGTATGCATTGATGAGTTAGTTATTTGATGTTGTAATTGGGTATCACAGATTAATTTATTCTTTAGTTTTGTTTCATGTTATAAAAGGGAAAAATAAACAATGCGTAAACAAAATGAAAAGGAGAGAAATAATTATGGTAATTTTTTTTTTAAAATCTAACGAAGAAAGCACATTGATTTAATGTGACAGGATTATAAATTGTTTTTGTTTTTTTCAATTAGAGTTAGGGAGATTAGTGTGTTTGTTGCATATTGAAATCATCAATCAATCAATCAATCATTGTTAGACTAGCATTAGAAACATGGAAACACTGAAAGTGCAGCCGTTTCGTCCTGGAATGAGACTAATCATCAGCAGTGTGCATCCATGACTGCTGCACCTCGCAGGATTTGAATCCAAGACCTTCGGTCTTGCGCGTGAACACCTAACCTCTAGACCGCTGGGCAGGCATCCAACGGTGACCAGTGGAGTTCAACTCTGTCAGCTGTAGGCAATAACTACCAAAGACAAATGAACGAGGTGGCGCAAAATCTCTAGATCAATCAGATGCCGACCCAGTGGTCCAGAGGTTAGGCGTTCGCACGCAAGACCGAAGGTCGTAGGTTCGAATTCTGCGAGGTACAGGAGTCGTGGATGCTCACTGCTGATGAGTCTCATACCAGGATGAAACGGCCGTCTTTCAGTGCTCCCAGGTTTCTAATGGTAGTCTAGTAACAATGACTGATTGATGATTTCAACGTAAAATTTATTTATGAATGAACCAATCAGAGTTAAAATAGCGCCTCTTGAATTTTTGCATAAAAATTATATTCATTTATATTTATATCGTGAAATAGAGTTCTGACATTATGTTAGTTTGTAATTAGAAAAGAAAAAAGGTACCTAAATGTCATTCATAACTTTAACGTTCAACCTGAATTTTGACCTTCATATAAACGATTTCAGATCCTAAAGATTAGTTTGATGTCGACAAAACGTAGTAGTTCAGATATTATAATCTCTCATTTTTTTATTTTATAAAAAAGACTAGACATTCAAACAAGCATTACTTTTAAATTGTTCAATGTGTTCAACAATAAAAAATTACTAAATCAAGAAAAGTTTAATATTCAATAAATCAAAAAATTATAATCGAATAACTCTGTATACATATGGCAATTGTATTGTAGTGAAGGAGAACACAGGTGGGGCAACCGAATTGTATTTAACGAAAATTACAGAGTTACTCAGTAAAATAGGAAAACCATATCGTAAATCGTTAATTTGCAAAATATCAAACCATCATATCGAACTGGACTGTTCCTGTTGCAAAATATCAATCCAATGTCACTGTTCATTCGTTTCATACAAATTCCATTGTGTTCTTCTAACCCTTCCTTTCTTGATCTTCCCCCGCATCTTCTGCTGCCAGACATTACGTTGACACTCACATCATATACTACTTATAAGTAGCTCACACCACAATATTAGCAAACCAAATAGCACAGATCTCTGAGGGGATTAGAAAAAATGTTCTTACGATAAACCTAACACTTAAGGAGCTTCATTTATTAACATAACAAACCAGAAGACCTCAGTTCTTTTTAAGGAATATTTGTAATACAAAAGTAAATAAACCGTAATTAATACATTTTGATGATAAAACTCAGAGTTCAATAACCAATTACTATTGTAAAATTAACTCCGCCAGTAGAACCTTCGGGGCTACTGCAGGTCCCAAGCCCGGATAAAGGAGGAGGGTTCGATATGATGGGGTTGGCGACCCCATTCTGTCAAAAACTAACTTGCCAAAAAAACGCTAACCAGAATATTGTAAAATTATTACGATTATTACCGTGGTATGGTGTTTAAAATGTTGTACGACAAAAGAAACTAGTGACTATTTACTGACAGTAGTAAAAGTCTATTGAGTGACAGTTAAAAACGCTAAGACCAGAAAGTATTCGATAACTGAATCCATGATCTAACCAGGGATCGAACTGAAGAACTTGAGAATTCGTAAGCGAGCCCCTCCATAATCAAATTTGAAAAGTGTTTGTAGCACACTAGCTACAACTGCCAAAGAACAGAACAATGTACAAGCGATATCAATTCACTCGGTGGTAGAGGTTGCACATTGTGAAGATCCAATCGAGTTATACTGGCTGAGACATTCATCCTTTAAGTCCTACGAGGAAAGTCAGCATGACTAAATTCTATGAACTAAATGGTAGAAAGCTGAATTCATACTGGGATATGATGTCACTGAAGTCTTCCTATCAGGTAACTAGCATTTCCCTTAATGCTGACCCCTTACAATGTAATCAAAAGATTATGAAACGTCACATCTTCAACTTCCCTACGAAGTTGCATGATTGGTGGTAAATTTCTGAAAATTATAGCGCTAACACATTAACAACTAGTCACAAATATTCGCATATGAACGACCACAAATAAATATCTCCTGAGCTAATATAATTCTAGGTTGTCAAGATCATACTTGATATATTTTTCTTGTCAGATTCCTCGGTGTGGCAGCCACTCTCATAAGTTTAACATAAAGTGAGTTGTGCATATTTAATGTCTAGGAGTCTCATACTTGGACTTCGCAGATGACCTGGCTCCTTCTATCTCACACGCAACAACAAATGCAAGAGAAGACGACCAGTGTAGCAGCAGCCTCTGCAGCAGTAAGTCTCAACATACATAAAGGAAAAAGTAAAATTCTCAGATGCAACACAACATGCACCAACCAAATCACTCTTCATGGAGATGCTTTCGAGGACGTTAACACCTTTTACATATCTGGGCAGCATCATCGACAACCAAGGTGGATCCGATGCATATGTGAGGGCACGGATTGGCAAAGCAAGGGCTGCGTTTCTACAATTTAAAAATATCTGGAACTCCAAACAAATATCAATCAACACCAAAATCAGGATTTTCAATACAAATATCAAGACATTTCTACTGTATGGAGCGGGAACATGGAGAACTACGAAAGCTATCATCCAGAAGATACAAGTGTTTATTAACAGTTGTCTACGCAAAATACTTCGTATTCGTTGGCCAGACACCACGATCAGCAACAACGTACTGTGGAAGAGAACAAACTAGATTCCAATGGAGGAGGAAATCAGGAAGAAGCGGTGGAAGTGGATAGGACACACACTACGAAAAGCACCTAACTGCATCACAAGACAAGCCCTCACATGGAACTCTCAAGGCAAAAGGAAAAGAGGAAGGCAAAAGAATACATTACGCCGAGAACTAGAGAAAGATATGCGAAGAATGAACAAACATTTGACAGAACTGGAGAAGGAAGCCCAGGACAGAGTTGGTTGGAGAAATCTGGTGGGAGGCCTATGCTCCATTGGGGGTAACAGGCGTAAGTAAGCAAGTAAGTAAGTAAGTAATCATGTGTGTTCATATTATCACTTCCAAAAAAGAAAAAACCAAACTATTCATTTCAATATCTGTTGTATAAAAAAAAGAAAAAACTTCATGCGAAGAAAGAAATTTAGAGAAAATCTCATTTATCACACACACACACACAAATTTTCCCATAAAACCATATCTCCATGTCCTTTTTTTCTCGAAAAGAAAAAACAAACAACTTTGTCATGCTTTCTTCATCACCACTAATAATATTCCACTAACATGGATGACATTATTTATCACATATTCACTAACCAACCCTTATAATATGATGACAACACAATGACAATGCACAAAAGTGTGGATAACAATCCCGATAAAACTTTCTTCGAATATATATACAGATATATATTCGTCTACCCTGTATAATCATGACAACATACATACATACCATACAGTAGACAACAGTAAATATCAGTTCCTAATGATCAATAGAAAAAAATAAAAGAATTGACAACATCCTACTACTACTACATGGTGTTATTGTTGTGATGACAGACAATGTGG